AGTGGGATGTGTAGTGGATTAGTTATCTATATAACTGTGTAACCCATGACCCATGCACGGTATAACTTTATAAAAGAATATGCACGCACAACACATTGAGAAATGAAACATACACAACTGATGACACTAAAATCATGCTTCATTATTAATTACTTAAATCATAGCCTACATAACACAACATAAGAAAAAAGGTTTCAACAAAGCACAGGAACAAAGACACTACAACCAGGATTCAATACTTCTACCAACTCAGACACAAACTGCATGGAATAACGACCTAACTTGTTAGGGGAGCGTGGCTCATGGACCCTACAAGACTGAAGCATGAATACAAACGACAGTTTAAAGTACTCTCATCACTTGTTAGGGGTAGAGCTGGAAGCTACGGATGAGTGTATGGTCTCCCTGTCAATTGGCTTACTTGTGTAATTGTATGTGGCCCAATGCTTGTTCATCTTACTCATTATCTCTTCAGTGGACGACAAAATGGATGGCGGGTTTTCTGGATCTGGAGCCGAACTCACACTGATACTCTCCGAGCCGTACCAAGCTAGCTCATTCCAAAACGAGTTGTTGGTGTTGGTGGAGTCATTTTCATGAACGATTTGCCATCCATCCCTCGCATCTTGAACATTGACGCTACCGTTTGCGGGCTGGTCATTGTGAACTACTACAACATCATCGTCATCATCTGGTCCATCATCTTGTGTTAGCACGTCGCTTAAGTTGATAACTTCATGCACAGAGTCATCGCTAATGGTGTCGTCACCCTCGTGGAACAAAGCTTTGAGACCATCGTAAGCACTCTCGCCTTCTATCATGTAGGCCATTGCAAGCTTCTCCTCCTACAAGTTCATTGATAAATGAGTAAAATAAACTTATGAGAATAGCTTAATAAACAAATTATCATGCATGATCAACAAGGCCATTTAAACAAAATACCCGGACAATGTATTCCCATAAGTCCTGGGCAGCAGAAACAGAGTGATTAAATGGGTTGTACACCACTCCAGAGAGGTGGATCATCCAGTGGAGTACATTGTAACGCTTGCGCAGCTTCTTTACGCGAGCAACAGCATCTGAATATGTGAAGTTTGTTCCCATGGCGTTGTTAAGATCAGTGAGGGCAGAAAACACGGCGTGAAAGTTTTGTTGTCTGGAATCGAAGTTGCCTTCCCTCTTTTGCTCGACAAGGTACTCGATGAATTTGGTGTCAACGGGCTTTGTCCACTGCTCAGTATAAAACACTTTGGACTGACCCATTGCACCCTTGGGTCCCTTGTTACTGGTACGTTTTCCACGAAGGGAGGAAAACATTTTTTTTTAGCCTTTTTGGATTTGTAGTAGTTATGTTTTGTGGATAGATTGGTAAGTGTCGGTTTTCACATTTTATAACCAAAAAAATTAATGCTTTGTGGAGTTATTTAGGGGCTGTCAAGATTCTCTGTATGATATGATATAAGATTCCAAAAGGAGCATGTTTTTGGTTGTCCTATTTTATGTGTGAGAATATATTCTCTGCAAAGTACAAAGAAAAGTCACTTTTTTTTTTTTTTTTAAGTTAACAAGATGGCTGAAAAGTTGGATACGAATCTGGCGGATTGACAAATGACAACACCATCAACTTGTTCAAATTAGAGGAGGCAAGATTTACAGCTTGTATTATAATAAAAGCTCTGGACAATACATATCACCTAGTATGTTCGGGTTTGTGAAATACTTCTCGTATTAGCACATGTCTCAGGGCTCAACATCGAACCACAGCGTTGGAAATTCTTCCCGGAGCAACACTGCTTTCGAAGGATGGAAACCGAAGTGTGGCCATTTAGAGGAGGCGGAATTGCTGACGTCCAACAGTGACAAAAACCAATGTAGGCGCTATTACCGATGCAAAAACCGATACGTAAGCCTCTCGAGTACGACATATCGTGTTCTTGGTTATAGCCCATATGAATATTGTATTTTTTTTTTCTTGCAGGTAAATGATTGTAAGTTTTTTCAATGGTTTGATGAAGAGATGCCGCCATTTCAGAAAAATTGTTATTTGAAGCTTAAGCATGAAAAATCGTTGTTGGAGGAGCAAATGAGAAACAAGGACGAGATGATGCAAGGTGTAATGGAAAAACTAAGAAAAAAGAGAATGAAATTGAATGAATTACGAGCCAAACATAACGACCTTCAACAGCAACTTTCGTCATTGCATATCGGGGAAAGTACTAACAACAATGGTGTTAAGTGTGTGCTTGTGTGTTTGGTTTTAGTCATACTTTCTGTTTTTTTACTTTGGCATATTTAATGATATGTCATAATAAGAATGTTGTTAAGTGTGTTCTTGTGTGTTTTGGTATGTAATGAATACTATGTTTTGGACTCTGTGAGTGAAGGCTTCTTGACTTTTCACTCGTGTGTTTTGGTGTATTGAGGGCAGGCTTGTTTGCTTTATTTTAGTAGTTGGTTTCTTAGGTCTTGGACTGATTATTATGGTGTAGTAACTGAAGACTTCTTTGCTTTGCTATGGTGGTTAGTTGGTTAGATAGGTTTTGGGGAGCCTAGTAATTTGTTGTTTTTGGTTGGTTCTGGTTTCAATGGACATGGTATTTTGGAAACTCAGAAGAAGAAAAAAATAAACCAACAACCATATACAATGTAAAGCCTTCTTGGGATTACAAACCTTACAACCACATGAAAAGCAAAATAAGAACAAGTCTAAACTACCAAAACAATACCAAATCAGATCAGTTTGGTTGCAACTCAGGCACCAGCACAAAACTTTCAGCAAGAGTAAATCAAATAGACACGAGATAACCTACTCTTCCACTTCACCCAAGAGAAGCAGCATACCTAAGAACAGTTCTGTACAACATGGGTTTCCCTTTTCACATTTCTATAAACCTTTATAAACTCCATCAGACATAGTACAACATTAAAACCCCCAAAAAAGTTAAAGACAAAGTAACACCAGAGGAAACTTAAAATCCACAAAACATGATTTCAAAACCAAAAGTTATCATTAACATGAATATCGATTTGATAATGAAGTCTATACATGAGACCACATATTAAAAAGCATGCATATCACCAATCTTAACTACTACTACATTCCATGTCCATTCTTCTTTGGAATGAATTTGAAAGACAAAAGAAAATACACAAATCTAGGAGTAATGACTAGGTGTTTCTGTGAGAAGCATCTTCTTTTTTATTTTAAACTTCGGCGTCTTCAGTGTAGACACAACCGGCGCAGCATTCTTCACATGGAACAATAGGTGCGCTGTTGCAAAGTGTTTCATGCCGTAGGTTCTGAAAAATCTACTTTCTTTGCTCTCCTGAAAAAACACAACACAAAGAACATAAAAGACCAATAACAAATGAATCTATCAGTACTAAGAAAAGTCTCAACAACGCAAAAAATACTTCACCTTCGTAATTCTTTTCCAGTAGAGTCCGTCCACATATGCTCTATCTTCGTCTGCCTTATGATAGACACCAAGGTTCTGTTTCCACTCCATGAACAAGTTATATTGATTTTTAAATTCCTGAACTCTTTCTTTCACCATGGGAATTGTGAAATTTTTCTTGAATTTATCTATTAAGGTTCCTGTTATTAGCCAAAGATACGTGTCAAACACCCCAATATTGCTGACACATACATTATGAGCTGCATGTTGGAGTTGTTCAAATAAGAATCCCTCCTCTTCTTCGTTCCAACCCTCTGTCGAAAACAATTTTGAAATGACCTCGTTGCGCGTCTGAGGTTTGTTGGCAGCCATTCTCAAAGTCTACACAGTGGTTAAACCAAGGAAGGCCCAAAATTTTAGTGCATTCATTTCATCGAGTTCAATTCAACAGCTCTTTTCAGTGCACACTGAAATTGTAATTACAGAGACAAATAATACATCAAACCCACAGAATGGGGCTTTTCAGCAATAACTCAATCTTACAAACATTGAGTTAAACACTTTGCATTCGCAACAGTCCAAACAACATAAATCAGGAAAAACAATTACAAGGAAAGCGACGTTCATAGGCAGTAACACTAAAATATCTATGCTTAAATTTGCATACGAATTTACAAGGTCGAACATTTGGAACTTTGAGATTTTAAAACTCAACAAATCATGAATACACAATAGCGTGGATTGAAATCAATAATCGAACATACGTAGCCTCACCTGAGTGGGATTTGGTAGATGCACGGACTTCTCTCCCGTCAATTCGTCGGTATTTTCTAGCAAAAGATTGAACGCACACTGTTGGGCATCCAAGGAACACCGAAGAAGAAGAGTCGAAGAACGGTCGAAGGAGAAGGGTTTGTAATTCAGATCAGATCTCACATTTTTTTTTTTTTATCTTAGTTGTGTTTTTATGAGCCAAGGGTAACATTGGAAATCAAACGTTTTGTTTTGGTTTAAAAATGTTGAAAGTGATCATTTATTGCCAACCAAATGGGTTAATGATATAATGAGGCCCTTATCAAACCACCTAAAACACAAACCAAACATTTTACAATATACAAATTATCACCTGGGCCCGCCTTACTTGATTACATCAAGCCCAATCAATCACCCCAACCAATCAAGCCCTACATATATAATACTGCAATATATGAAAACTTCTAATCAAGTTGGAGTAATCATGTTGGGACAGGGGCGAAATTTATGTAAGTTAGAAGGTAATTGCATCTCTCCATTTTTTTAATAATTTTCTATACGATTAGTTTTATATAATTTTTAATTTGCCTATTCTTTACACTGTTGAAAGAAGAAAGGAAGTGGCCAATAAAAGCCTATCTACTTCACGAGGAGTCTTTAGGAGTGTTCACGGTCCGGTTTTAATTGAAAAAAACTGTCAATTCGGACCGCAGATCGGTTAAATGGTCAGTTAAAAAAGCCTTAAAAAATCCGGTGGTTAATTTTTTTAAAAATCCGGAATAACCTGTCCGGTTAACGGATTACCTGCGGCAAACAGCCGGTTTAACCGGACCCGACCAGTAAATATTAAAAAACTATAATAAATATATATATATATATATATATATATATATTCAGTCATTCAATATGGCCGAAAAATACAATACATTCACTTTCACTTTTTGGCATTTTGTTGACTTAATTTTATAAGACACTATAACTTTTTACTTTTTCCCACATTCGTTTTTTTTATTTTCAGATTTTCCCGCCTTCTCTTCCTAATTTTTTGAGTTAACCCTAACTTTTCCCATCTTCCCACTCCCAAGCTTCTCAGTTCCCCGACCTTTTTTCGACTTAGTTTTTCTTTCAATTTCCCACATTCTCAGGCTTCCCTCACGACAGTCGCCACCCTCTTCGTCGTCGGCGCATCAAACACACCCCGGCTTTCGCTCACGTCACGACAGTCGCCGCCCTCTTCGTCGCCGACGCCGCAAGCACAGGTGTGTTTTCGTTTTTCTAATTCTTTTCGATCACTTCATTGATTTCTATGATTTTTGCTTGTCGAGCCATTTTCTGTTCCCCATTTCAATACACTGACTGAGGGAAGAATCAAGAAAGATAAGGATTTTGGATTTAACCGGTTAACCGCCAGACCGGACCGTCCAATGCGATCTGGATTGTGCCCGGTTAAAAAATATAACCAGTCCGATTATGGACAAGAAAAAGAATTAACCGTTATGTCCAGTTTGGTCATGGTTTGGGCTAAAACTGGACTAATCCGGACCGTGAACACCCCTAGGAGTCTTGTAACATGCAGAGCAGAAGTACTCTGAGGTCGAAAAGGCTATGTTGGCATTCATATCAATAGCAGGCAAATTGCGACCTTACTTTTTGGCACATAAGGTCATGGTCCGGATTAGCTTTGCGTTGAAGGATACCTTAGGTATGTTGGATTTTATGAGGAATGTCCCCAATATACACATCCAAATATATTAAAAATAAATCCTAATGCAATAGAATCTATAGCTAGGATCAGGACTTACGGTTTAAATAAAATGCACACTCTGTACATACATACATGGCCTACGAGGCCGGACGAATGTTCTGAGTATTTTTCACACTAGACTTCTCGTCCTCTCACCTTATTGCTCGTTGTGCTCGTCTCGCCGAGTAGCTCGTCCATCACAATCTCCACTCACACCTCTCGATGTCCGAGTCATGTATCACATCGCCTTGGACTTGTCAGAATGCTATCGGACCACACCTGGGATGCTAGAGGTGGTTTGAACTCGCCACGGCTCACTTGGTACAAGGACGACTCGTACGGTATGCGTTGGTGCTCTAGTTGTCCGAGCAGGTGCGCTGGTTGTCGGGCAAGCCTAGGTCTCGCGCGCTGGTGTGCACTGCAGCACCCCTAGTGACGCTGGCGGGCGTGCCAGGTCGAGTGCATGTGGTCGGGTCGCGCTGCTCATGATGGGAAGCACAAGAGGCGTGGACGCTGGGACAAACAGTGCACGCGTAGTGCATTGACAGCGCGTGGTCCTCCGGCGACTGTGCGTAGGGCTGCGGCTGGTGGAGCTTATCACGCCGATGGATGTGTTTTCCTCTGGTGGTGCTGCTCTCTAAGTTTTATGGTTGTTTGAGGTGCAGGGACATTTATATTCGTTAGGATACGAAAATAATATCTCAGGATCTTCTGTTGTATGACCGATCACCTTCTCCGATTCGTCGTGGTGGACGACTCATCGGATCTCCCAAAGTCTCACAATTTTTGTCTCCTTTTGATCTCTCGATTTTTGGCCGAACTCGCAACGAACAAAAAACAACTTAATCTAACATGTGTTTCTAAGGTTGGGATCTCATGATGGAAGCTAGAGGACTTGGTGTATTTATAGACTACAATAGGGACCCTAAGGAAGTGCTAAATATGAGCTTCTAACTATGGTTCTAACTGTGAGTCAAGTCCACTCTGCTCATACTCGAATAATATTAAAAAACACTATAAAAATAAAAATTACGTCCCCATTTAGCTCTGAATTACAATTAATTGGTCTCCCACATGTTCAAGATCTAATGTCCGTTGATCAATTTTATTACGGACAATATAATTATTCAGCTTCTTGATCCAAAATTAGTACCAATCAGTTCTTTATTATTATGTCATAAATTAATTTGTCTGCTGAGTTTGAGGTAATAATCCTTCTTGAGCTTATTTCGGGGACGTCATCAACCTAGCGAACTGGGACACGGTGACCATAATAATTTCTACAACACATTATGCACTTGGAATTATTTACCAAAGTATGGAGTCTGTCTACTTACCAAAATAAGTCTCACTCATGGTAAACCAAATAAATAAATACCGAAGACACAAGCTTGTTTTTATTGTTTTACGGGTTACGAGGACGCAACAATTACTGATGTCAAGTTTATTGACTTGGTCAGTAAAAATTACGGTTAAATAACCCACAAATTAGAATTTCCTTAATTAAGGATTTTCTTTTTAGAGAGAAGAGAATAGAATAAGCTGCAATTGTAACTCAGGCAAGGGACCTATTTATACTAAAAAAAATCCTACACATCTTTGGTACACATCCGATGTGGACAATAATTAATCAAAATTTAACAATTCTCCACCTTGTCTATTTTTGCTCCCACTCCGACTCTTCAATCCAACTCAACTGCTAGCGGTGCCTCCAAATGCGCCTCTTGGTGCCAACTCAAATATGCAGAATGTTGGTCAAGTCTAAACAATGTTCAAACTTGACTACTGTCACTACCTTGGTCATCATATCTGCAGGATTCTCCGTTGTCTTGTTCTTCTTCAACACAACAGTTCCATCTTCTCCCGCAAAGTGATAGCGAACATCGATATGTTTCGTTCTTGCATAAAATACTTGATTTTTTGCTAAGTGAATAGCGCTCCGACTGTCACAATGCACTAAGACGTGCTTTTAACCAACTCCTAAGTCTTCAAGCAAACTTTGAAGCCAAATAGCCTCCTTCACAGCTTCAGTAACTTCCATATACTCTGCCTCTGTTGTAGACAAAACAATTGTTGACTGTAAGGTAGACTTCCAACTAACTGGAGCTTTTACAAGTGTGAACATATATCAGTCGTTGATTTCACTTATCCAAATCGCCCGCGTAGTAAGAATCACAATGTCCAACTACACACTGACCAAATTCATCCTGCTCATAAACTAATCCAACGTCTAATGTACTATGAATGTACCGTAGAATACATTTCACAGCTTGCCAATGACTTTTACCACGATCATGCATATACCTGCTAACAACACCAACTGCTTGTGAAATGTCGGGCCTTATATAGACCATCGCATACATCAAACTGTCAACTGCATTCGCATATAGGACTCTAGCCATGTACTCTCGTTTTTCATCACAATTTGGCGATAATTGGGCACTTAACTTACAATGAGGAGCAAGTGGCATACTTACAGGCTTTGACTCATCTTTTATCCCAAAACGTTGCAGTACCTTTTTCAGATATTGCTTCTAAGTCAAACAAAGATTGTCTCTCATTCGGTCCTTGCTTATCTCCATTCCGAGTATTTTTCTTAGCTTCCCCCAAGTCTTTCATTTCAAGCTCTTGATTCAACTAAGTCTTCAAATGATCAATCTCCACTTGGCTCTTTGATGCAACCACATCCACATACAAAGGTAAGTAAATGAAAGATCCCATCTTGAAGCTTGCGTGGATACACACAATTATCATGTTTGTCTCGTGCTGTCCAATCATGAACTTATCAAACCGTTTGTACCACTGTCTCAAAGATTGCTTCAATCCGTAAAACTATTTATTTAACTTGAAGACCCAATTCTCTTCTCCAAGAATTTTGAATCCTTCTGGCTGAGTCATGTAGATTTTCTCATCTAAATCTCCGTGTAAGAACGTAGTTCTCACGTCAGGTTGAGCTAGCTCTAAATGTAACTGTGTTGCTAAGGCCAACAAAGTTCTATTGTAAGAGTGCTTAACGACTGGAGAAAAGACTTCATTATAATCAACTCCTTCCTTCTGAGCGTAGCCTTTAGCCACTAATCTTGTCTTGTAGCGCACATCATTCTTCTAAGAAAATATATCTTTCTTTACAAATACCCACTTGCATCATATCACCCTCTTGCCTTTTGATAGTTGCGTGCGTCACCTTCCAAGTTTGATTCTTCTGGACAGACAACATTTCTTCTTCCATAGCCCATTTCCACTTCTCATTTTCTAAACTCCGAATTACATCTTGAAAAGTGAAAGGTATGTCATCATCAGCAATTGGAAGTGCATAAGCCACCATATCCGCCAATCGAGCAGGTTGTTGAATCTCTCATCTGGGATTTCTCTATGTAATGGTTAACTCTAATGATTCTTGAGTCTGAACTTCATCATCCGATGAATCCCTTGATATTGGTTGGTCGAACATAGCTGGTTGTCTCGTCATCGCATCTGTCTCCACCTGCGTTGGTGTCAACTCCACCTGTTGGGTTTGCATCGTCTTCATCATACCTTGTTCATCAAATGTAACATCCCTGCTAAACACAGTTTTGTTCAGACACAAAATACGATATCCCTCCATTCTAATGGTGATTCCCATGAACAAAGCCTTTTTTACTATTGGGTCTAACTTTGAATCCTTCACATGATAGTACGTAGGACACCTAAACACATGTAAAGATCCATAGTCAGCAACAGGTTTCCCCGGCCATACCTCCAACGGTGTTTTACTATCTTTTGCAGATGATGACAATCGATTTATGAGGTGTTGCGCGTATGTTAAAGCCTCTGCCCAGTACTATTCGCCCAAACCAGCATTGGACAACATACATAGAACTTTCTCTACCCATGTTTGATTCACTTGTATATTCTCCACCATTGTCCGTACGTAAGACCTTGATCTTCCTTTCAGTTTGATTTTCAATTTGTGTCTTCCATTTAATGACGAAACCAAGTAGTTCATCCTTCGTCTTCATAGTATACACCCAAACACGCCTAGAAAAGTCATCGATGAAAGTGACAAAATAATTTCTTCCGCTTAATGTTGGCTATTAGAAGGTCCACAAACATCCGAATGAACATAATCCAGGACACAATCGGTATTATGGATAGTCGTTCCAAACTTCACTCTCTTCTGCTTTCCAAGAACACAATGCTCACAAAAGTCTAGTTTGCACACTTTGACATCTTTCAACGATTCTTGTTTTGCCAATTTCTGAAGGATTTTTCACCAGCATGACCTAACCGCATATGCCACAACCTGACTGCTTCGGACTCCTTGTTGGTGGAATCTGCTACTGTCACTATCCCAACAATTGTATCACCTTCATAGTAATACAAATTATTCCTTCTAATGCCTATCTTCACCACGAGCGAGCTGGATGTAACCTTCATAACTCCATCTCGCAAAGTTACTACCAAGCCTTTGGATTCCATGGCTCCTAATGAGATGAGATTTTTCTTCAAACTCGGCACGTACCGAACGTCCGTCAAATCTCTAGTGGATCCATCGCGATTCTTCAGACAGATTGAACCTATCCCAGTTGTCTTACAGGAATTGTCATTACATATATAGACAACCCCTCCATTGATCTCTTGCAAATTTAAAAACCACTTCCATATAGGGGACATATGATGGGTGCATCCTGAATCCAAAATCCATTCGTCTGGATGAGATGATGAAGGTAAAACCACAAGCGAAAATTATGAGTCTTCACTTCCACCCTCGGCAACATATGCATCTTGAGGAGATTTTCCCTTCTTCTTCAACTTAGGATAGTCTTTCTTCTAGTGTCCCTTCTCATGGCAGAAAGCACACTCGTCTTTTTCAAGCTTGGCCGTGGAACGTGATCTTCCTCGTCTATTCTTCTTTTGGCTCTTCGACAGACCTCTTGCAATCAACACTTCATCTTCTGCCGTTGCATTCTTCATCTCTTGTTTGTTCTTCTACCTCAACTCATAGCTAGACAGAGCAGAACTGACCACTGCAAGAGTTACATCGTTCTTCCCATGAAGTAGGGTAATCTCCAAGTGCTCGAAGTCATCCGAAAGTGATGATAGCAACATTAGAGCCAAATCTTCATCGTGGAATGTGACGTCCAAGTTCAACAGATCTAAAACCAACTGATTGAATGTAGTGACGTGGTCATTCATCGATGTGTCATGCCGGTACTCAAATCGAAACAATCGCTACTTCATGAGGAGCTTATTCTGGCTGCTTTTCTTCAAAAATTTATCCTGCAAAGCCTTCTATAGAGTGAGCAGAATTCTCATTCTTGAATGCGTACTTCTACTCCCTGGACAAACACGAGCGGATTGTTCCACATGCTAAGCGGTTGATATTCTTCCTGTCCTTCTCATCAACGTTGGTTGGCTT